AAATTCGGCCGGGAAACCAGGGTTCTGGGCCTATCCAAGCCGTGTCCAGGCTCTTCAGCAAACCTCGCCGGAGGGACCAATTTCCTTCAGGGGACTGTGGCAACCCCCCCCATCATGCCCCTTTTCGTGCCATCCGGGGGGCATCATGAAGCCCGGGCCGAAGGGGCAAGAGATTCTTTTTTCAACCAGCAAGCTGCTTCCCGATGGTTCCGAAGTGCCCCCCCCAGACCCCGAGGGGGCTTGCGCCCCGTAATGGTGATACCCTCCTCTGCAGTGATTTCGAGCGAATAGCCCTCCGAAGTTTGGCGGCCGGCCACATCCAGATAGTCACTCTTGTTCCCGAGCGTCAGAAAAATGGCATCGGCGCCAGCCGATGCAGCCGAGCCGACTTTCACAACGACCTCGAAATTAAGCACCGACACCAGGTCCTCCGCAAAGGTTCCTGCAAAGTCGAGCAGCGTTGGCGGAATCAAGGTTAGGCCGTCGGTGTCGACGGCATCGGCGTTCTTCTCGTCAACGATGATGGTGGCGATTGTCGAAAAATCAAGACTGCCATCACTCGAGAGCTCAAAGGACACAGTCGGGATGCCGGCGAGGGTGGCTGCCGAAGCAGCACTGGCAAGTGCCACGGCAGATATAAAGAACAGCAGCATCTCGAAGAGTTGGTTGAGTCTGGTACTGCTCTAGCCGGACCTCCGCAGCTCCCCAAACAGCTGGGCCGCATCGCCTCTATTATAAGATACACATCAACTACCTCATCGCAACCTCATTTCGTCCACCTCGACGACGGTTGATTCGGTTTCGCATGCGATCCAGCAATACCGCATCGCTGAGAGCTTCTCCTCAGTACACAAGCGGGGCACACGACGTAGCGATGCGGGGTCGACGATGCAATCAATCTTGCTTGGCCCGGCAGGTCTCATATCCAGCCCGCCAACAGACCCTCGGGATCCCCGTTTCACCCTCTTAGCCGACGGGCGCTTCCCAGAGTCAATTGCCATGGTAACGTTGCACCGAGATGCTCAATGGACGGAAAAGAAAAGGTCTTCAGCGCAGGGATGTCTCCCCTTCCAGGGGCATGGGTCCGGCGCCGGACAGCGGGGGAAGATCGGCGGTCGTATTGGGGCCGCGATAACACGCGCCGAGATGGCCTTCCCCTCATCGGACGACAAGACTATGTACGGTCCCTCACCCGTGCGGGTATTGACTTCAGTCACACCCGATGATCTAGTCCAGGGCATCGGTTATGGAGCGTGTACCATTGGCGAGGAAAGAGCCTGGGATAGCACGCGTTTGCCCCAGCTTTGCTACCACCTACCGGAGTCGGTCCAGTTGGTTCATGAGCCAACTGACTGCGTCGTCGGGTATCGAAATCTGCGGGGATTGGGATTGCTCTTGGTATATAGGAGGTCACGTTGTTACCTGACGATCACGGTATCGCTCCGTAACGTCACCTGCCGAGACGTCGATACCATGAGCATGACGCGACCTTTGGACTCACTTGGCCGCAAATCTCTGGTTCATCCATACTTTTACATCACCACTGGATTCAGATGCTTGTAGTGGAGCATCCATTGTGTTTGGAGCTTGCTGGGCGACAATCAGTCAGACCAAGAGTGGAGCACCAGATGCGTAAGCTGCAGCCTCATAATCTCTAATATTATACAAGGCCAGTGGTGCGTGGTTCACTATACTGATGCGGCTTTGATTCTTGAATATCTACTTAGCATCAGGCCAAATCTTACTCAAAACCAGAAGAGACAGAGTTAGCATCCAAACTCTCATCAATTCTTCGAAGCAGAACATCTGAATACCAGACGTGCGCGTCTGGTAGCGGGGTGGTGCTCGTCCGTCCGGGTGCAGGACAGCTGCCTACGTGTAAGGATGGATTCGTGCTCTACCTAGAACCAGGGGCCGGGTCGCTTGTGACATTCTTTGGGCAATTTGCTACCGATTCTTGGGGCTGGGCTATTCGGATAGCCTCACAACCACCAACATCGCGGAGGTGAGCGTGGGGAAAGCCTCATATTCAACAGAATCCCAACGCCCCTCAGGATCTTCTTTCGGCACCCCAGACGGAGACGAATTTTTTGCATTGTGAAAGGTGCGCGATGACAGACTGGTGCGACTCCGCGGTGATTGCGTGATAGACTGACCAAACAACATGTCGGCTGCATGATCTGTTGTCTCTCGCGACGTCACAGCGGACTCTCTTGCACTATCGATATCTGGATAATCATACTTTGATTCTCCACGAAGCAGAGCAGTATCGGAGGCTTGATCGAGGCGGCGGGCCGGTCATCAGTGCCAGCGGAGACAGTATCGGTTGGGCGGACGGTGGATCGCTTACCATGAGGAAGCTGAATTGCCGCGATAAAAATGGATCGCGGGTAGCACATAGATCGCACATCGTCTGACGACACACCCATCCGATCAGAGGTTACCGGAGAACGTGGCTGGGGCACATGTCGGGTCGCCTCTGTAATCCATTCCAGGAACCGGGCGCCACAGACGAGGCACCAAAACGAGACCAAGAAGGATCACCAAAGCCACATACACCCGCCCTTAGTTCCACCAAGCACTCTCTTATGATATGGACCTTTGCCCAAATGCGGCAGCAGTTCCTGTCCAATTTGGAGCCCCGAGCGAGACATACGCAACTTGGTTCGCATCACACCCTCTCAAGCCTCGATTTATACACCCGCATATCTATCTTGAGCTCGACCACGGCCTCGACAGCCTTCCCCCACAACATTTCTCTAACGAACGACCCGACGACTACCTACCTTACTTTCCCTTATCCCCACCCCGCGCCTGTCTGGCCCATTGCCTTCCGCTTACGGTACACAGCCCCGCCTACCGCGCCAAGCAGCCGCGTCCGCGCGGGCCACTCGTCCACTCACGCCACGCCCCAAGACACCCTCGTCGCCCCCCAAAAATAGGCATACGCTAGAACACCCGCGGCAGCGCGGCTCGGGGGCACGAATCTCAGACACCATCGTGCGCTGCCTTGGTAGGTGGGGTTGGCCCCTCAGTCAGACCCCTTTCATCCACCCAACCACCCAACCACCCCATCCCATCCATCCATCCACCCACTACCCATGTGCATCACCCCCCCTTGCTCTGTGTCCATTGCTCGGCCGAAGGAGAGACAAGGGGGAGGAAGCGAAGCAGGAAAAAAAACCAAAGAAGAAAAAAAGACAAACATTCGTCACGCCTGTTTCTCCCGCCCGCATTTAGATTAGGTGACAGCTGACAAGCCCTTCTCATCGGGAACGCTAAACCGCTTTGCACCCCTCGGTCAGAGAACCGAGTCGCTCGAAAGAGCTGTGAACTGCAACGACTACGCATCTTGGACATGTCTCAAGGGCCCACGCCCACTCACACTCACACACACACACACACACACGTACACGCAGCGAATTGCGGCAATCGCTAACTTTGGCGAATGTCTGGCTTCCTGCCTTCCGCTTCCCGCCCATCCAGAGTTCGTCTTGACGATCGGGCATCACCCGTCTGGAGACCTGGTCCGCTCTCGTTCTGTCCCCTTCCCCCCCTGCCCTGCCGGTGGGGCCAAGAATCAAAATACCGTCGTGGGAGTTTCGAGGCCCCCCTCTGATGGATCCGTGCTAGCGAGTGCGATTTTGGTCAGGAAAGTGGACAGTGGACAAGAGAAATGCCCCTCCCAGGGCCGGAAGAACGGCCCTCTTCCTTCGAGATCGCCGAGCTCCATCTCATTGGACCCCAGTCCCGGGTCGGCGACCGTTGCCAAGTAGGGCACGACCTACAGCTTGCGGCCCGGAAGGAGCCGAGTCTGCCTGGCCGTCACCACATGCCGTTCATTGGCGGGACTCGCCAGTCTGGACGACCCAAAAGAAATCACATGTCGCCGTTGACTCACAGCACATACACGAGGTCAAGCAGTGCAGCCAATGGTGTGGGAAGAGAAACAGAACGCTGTGTTTTGAGAGAAGAGTATCACAATGTCTATCGCCCACGCCATCTAGTATCGCCGTCTTGAGTCGCTATGCGCCGATCCTCCCGCCCTACGCCAGCTCCATTTCCCGCAGGATGATAGCCAAATCGAAGCCGGCCCCGAGGCTTATTCCACCCTGCACTTCCCCCTGCACATGGCAGAATGAGTGAAGATTCGACAATGCCGGATTGTGTCGTCTTGATTGGAGAAAAGGGGAGAGATCCAGAAGCCCCCAATAGAAAGCAAAATAGGTCAAAAAGCATTGACCGACTGAGAAGGTCGCTGCGGAAGCGTCCTGCGAAGCAACCCGGTTGCTACCGATGACTTCCAAAGCAGATTGTGTGACCCCATCCTCCGGTTCGTTGCAATCCCTGCTGCCAGAACAGAGTCGACTCTGGGACTTGCCCTCTGAAGTAGTACATGCCTGATGCAAAGATAACAAGAGAGCAACATCAAGAAGAAAAAAGGGACGAAATGGAAATGATTGAAGAGAAGGAAAACGAAAAAAAAAATTGAAACTCATCAGGAAGCCGTGGCCCACAACGCTCGTGCCGCTCATTACCAAAGCATGTCCAAAACGCCAGACGATCCCCTTCGTCCTGCCCAATGCACCAACTCCCTTACAATACAGGCCCGTGTCGGCAAGAGCCGAAGCATGTTGGCAGATGGCCCAAACATGCGCGGAGAAGAAGATAAGAAAACGGGCTGCGAAGCCGGATATATGAAGGGAATTGAAGGGTCGAGAACCAAACGAACCGGAAAACGCACATGGGCTCGCCCCCAGTTGTGAATCGCCCCAGAGACAATCGTTGAAGGAAAAATGATGCGAGCAACCAACTCCGATAAATCAAATCCTTTCGAACCAATCGGAAGGAGAGCAGAAACCCAAGCAGCATACCACGCTGCAAAAGAGAGAAGAGGTGGTATCGAGCAGAAGCAGCGGTTCAACGTAGCCGTCGGGGATGCAACTGTTCGTGTTTCGTCGTTGAGTGTTGTAAGGAGGCCGTGATCGAGTGACATATTGTGTATAATCCCTTCTGTCTTTGGTGGTTTCGTTGCTTGGTCCATGGCGGGTCGTTGTTTAGTAAGGTACGGCACGAGATCGCCGCGGGCCTTGGGTCTGGCCGCTCGATGCTGCCATGAGGTCTTGAGTGATCCTGGGTGGGGCAGATGCCGAAAGCGACCTGTCGAAGCCTTCGAAGAGGAGAGAAAGCTGGGATGGCGGCGCCAGGGTGTGGGAAGCAGATCTCCTTCGGAACGAGTTGAGAAACGCAGCCCAGCCCTCGAGCTTGAACTTGTCCAGCTTGGGAGAGTGCCAGGAGGAGCAGCCCGTCACCAAAGACAGTACTTTTCATCGGTAGTGGTGGGAGCTTCGAGATGATCGGCTGCTGTGGTAGCCCGAGTCGGAGTATGTGTACGGCGAGGACTGCTGCCGAGCGCTCTGCGTATGCGCACTACAAGCGTAACCAACAAATATCGTCCGCTGCTGGATGCTGTGGCCGGGGCGTCCATAGCCGGCGCATCGGTCGACAGCGTGCTGGTAGTAGAGGCAACGGCATGCCGAGTACAGCTCAACCAATTGGTAACACATGGTGGTATCTGGGCCTTATGGACACAATTCGAGTGGCAGAATAATCTCTGGAGGCTTTGTAGTGTGTTGGAGAAAGAGGACGAGAGCCTTCACTGTATTAATTGGGAAGACGAGTGATGGTATAGGCTGCGTACGCCGAGGGATGGTGGTTGTGGGTGAAAGTGAACGGAAAGGAAACCAGAAAGGAAAGAGATATGCTTTTGAGTGATGTGATGCGAGAGACAAGACAACAGGCAGATATGGGACCAGGAAGGCATCGCAGCCTTATAGACCTGGCAGCCTGGTATGGATGGTGGCTCGTCATACTTGGGACGAGTGTGGTTCGGGGCCTGTCAAGGCAGCAGTGACCCTGGGCGCGGCAACGGCACGCGATACCATCTGACTGAGATCCAGTGACTGGACCTAGGTGACCAGGAAGGAGTGCCCGCGTCTGAGCTGCAGACCGTCTGCCGCGCAAGGTACCTGGATGACATGATGGCGCAGGGTCCCCAGGAGGCTGCCTTCCCTCGCCCGGGCTTGGGCTTGGGCCATGGGGTTTGGAAGGGGGGGCCTACGATCGCTGAGGCTAAGGCGCAGCAGCAGCAGTAGCAGCGACGAAGAAGGAAGAGAAGGTGAGAAATTGAGGCCATGGGGTGCGGATAACAGTACAGAGGGCTGGGTTGGAGGGGCGTGGCACGCCTGTGGGTAGGTACGGTAGGGGGGGTGGAGATCAACCACGGGGGGGGGGGCAGCAGGAGTGGTGTGTGTGGTGGTACCGATGTCTTGTACGTGCCCACAGTTCGGCCAGACGAGTCACCCATGGACTTTTGGGGGCCAATTTTGGGAAATGGAAATTACCCTGGCCGACCCCCAGAGCACGCCAGGATGACCGCCATTCGCCGATGAGCTGCAGCAGGGCTGACGCGATGCGATGTGATGCGATGCTGTGTGCCTGGAGCCTGGGGTCTGGGACACTTGCAACGTGTGGACGTGGTACGAAGACGACTGGAATAGGTAGGATATGCAGAGACGGACGCTCAGTCAGCCAGTCGTTATTCCTAATTTGAGGCAGTAACGGTGCGGCACTGCTTTGGCTGTGTTGCTTGGTGCTTGGTGCTCCGGATAGCTCGAGGTCCCCATCGAGATCCCATCGCACGCCGGCAACTCGGAGGAAAGAGGATACGGCGGCGAGCGAGTTATTACGCAACTTGGTTGCAACGATTCCAATCTTGATTGTGATGGGGGCAACTGTCAGGAGCTCTCTCCTCCATCGTTCAATCGCGCATATGGTGCAGCCATGTAGGGGCGCCAGAATGGCAGGGCCCCAAAATGGAAAAGCGCCTGCAGCCGACAGTGGGCTCACATGGTAAGAGCATGTCCGCTAGAGCCAGAACGGTGAGCCTGCTCCGATAGGGTTCTAAAAACGGCGGCTGCTGCTGCAATGCTGTGTAGTATGGGCATTGTGGATTTTCGGAAGCAGTCTGCAGGCATCGGCAGCATGCTCGCAGACGGAGGGCACACCAAGGAATTGAGCAGGCAAGGTTCGTCCATCAGAATTTCATGCCGAGCTCCCGCCCAATTGGGGCATGCTTGTCGTACAAGTGCGAACTGCACTTTGGATATTTGAAGCCCATGCCATGATCCTCCCACTCGGCTTCCGCTGTGAGGGAGGTCGACGGCGGGCCTGCCTACGTAGCATGGGTTCTCATATGATCGAAACGATTCGTTTCATCCAGAATTGCCTGTGAATCTGCTCGAGCACCAAATGTTCGCGGTGGCTGTCCGACTTGACGGGACGTCGTGCGCGACGGATGAGATCTAACGAAGACAGCTATCGAGAGGGCAGCCAATACCATCTCTACCAAGGGTGACCCGGAATAGTGCCGTCCGCCCTAAGCAGCAGGCTCCGTGACTGGTCGGTCGCTCACTGTGAGAGGACCTGGCTCGCCTTACCTGACTAAGGCGGGAGGCACGGTAAGGTAGGTAAGGTGAGGTGAGGTGGATAGGTCCCTGTAGCTTGGTTTCTCTTCAACGGGGATCTGCGGTGTTGGCTGGGTATTCATGCAGTCCATTGGTCACAGTACGGTCCCCCACCATCATACCTCGCAGCACGATCACTTGCGTTTCGCGACGCCAGGTCGTTGCCTGAGATGAAGCCAAGCTCCTCTGTTCTTGACCATCTTGTCAAAATGAGGAAGTTGCATCGAGAACGATCTCATCGAAGGGAACACGCCGTATGATAACCAATGCGGGACGATACGCGAATTGAGACAAGGGCGGGTTCGGGCTACCCATCCGTCAGGCTTTGCCTTGCTTCAGAGGATGGTGGTAACGGAGGGGAGAAAGGTACAACCCGATACCAACATTCCAGTGCGTACTGACAG